GCGTCGTGTACGGAGCTGAAGTCCGGGACGTTGTGGATCTTATTGACGAGGGATAGTGCGCCCATGGCCATGATCTTGACCAGGTCATGGGGAACGGGTTGGTCTTTCGCGCGTTCGATGCACAGTAGGGCGTCCCTGAGGTATTTGCCAAGTTGCGTGGCGTGCTCGCGGAATCCGACGGGCCATGCCACCTCTTGGGGCCACGAGGTCGCCATGATCGTCTAAAAACGCACTGGGCGATGCGTCAGACTACAGGCTATTCAATAACCCGTCGGGGAGGCGTGTACGTGCTGTTTGGGGCTGCTGTTTCAAAAATTCGTTCTCGCTGTTGTGAAAAAGTTTTTTTGTCCTAGTCGCACTCACACCAAAACGCGTCGCAAACCACTCAGGCCCTCCCACAGAACCACGTGATTCATTGCGTCTGGGCGCTTAGTGGGTGGGTCTGAGTGCCTGAGGTAACACCTCCTTTCCCATGAACTACTCGTTGGGGAACGGATTGAACAGCGAGAACGAATTTTTGAAGCAACAGCCACTCGAGGAACATAACACTCCCGCCCGCGGTCGCAATGTGCCTCAACGGGTCATAACACCTTCCCCTGCGGTGTTTTGACTTCCATAGAGACCTCGTTGCGATGGCGGGCGGGAAAAGAGCGCGAAATTCACGAGCACGCCACGAAAATCACGCATCTGCCGCCGACGACTGCGGCCACAGCTGGCAACAACTCACCTCCTATAGTGCGACGACGAAGCCCAAACAATCCAAACGTTACTGTCCCCTCTAAAAAACAAAATACATGGCCGCATATGGATCTTCGGTGCTTCGCCGCTCGGCCCGTCTTCTCGTCAACGTTTGCGACATCCCGCTACGCCGACATGCTGAACAGAACGGTATCGCCTTCCGCACATCCAACCATCAGGTTCCTGGCATGCCATACAGAAAGACCACAAAATATCATGGATTCCAGACAGATTTGCCCACTGTCGCCCCTCCCCCCAGAAAAACAGGGCGGTAGAAGACTGGTCCCCTTTTGCCGCTCGGCTAACCAGGTCTGAGGAGGTAGTGTGGGAGTTCTCATACTCAGTAATTCATCATGTCGAAACGAGCGGAGCATTGCACTGCATGAGGTGGATGATGCTGGCTATGGTCAGCGTCATCAGTGGTTGCGTTAACGGAACGAACACATGGCCACATAGGAACCCGGTCGGAGGCAACAAAATAGAAACACACAAAACACAGAGCACGAACAGATCCCTAGGGGCATGGGG